ATAAACGGTTCTAATTAAGAAAACAGAACAAATTACATCAAAAATACAAAATACCTCAAACGGTACAGCCTGTGCTATACAGTCAGAAGTTTCTCTAACGCAAAGTAGCGCGCTAAACAATGAAAGAGACAGTTAATACTAAAGGGTTTGATACCTGAGAATCAATACAAATATTCCCAATAAGATGGGATCAAATATCTATCTGCAGGGATTGCAGCAATTCTCCCAAGCAGACAGTCAGAGGGTTAACAGTCACAAAATGAACCACGCCGTGACCTTGAGCTTAGTCAAACACAACCTTACTGTCAATGGTCCGGCAACATGCAATAGAAAATTAGGTAACAAAAAAAAGTCTTTAATCAAAATCACATAATAAAGGCTCAAACGGGGAAGACTGATGAACAAAAGACATGGTTAAACGAGATCGAAAAAAAGGTTGGAATACACAAAAGAGAGAAGGAACAAATAAATCAAAATACTGTTCAACAAAGAAGCTGCAGAGGGATTTTCACCGTTCTTTTTCCGTTACACCGGCCCCCAAAATCCCTCCAGCTACGCAAAGACACCTTAGAATACATTTCTGTCATGGCTCTCCTTACTAACTGCTCTATATCAATGGGAGGCACAGGACTTACAACAGTACGCCTGTACATCCATAAACCTAAGCTACAATCCACAATTACTCGGCTCCCTCTAGAAGGCAGAGCTTTCGCACATCTCTTCTTACTACACCTCTCATTCGCACCATCACTGTCTCTTAGTAATAACAAAGTGTTTGGCGTGAGCACCAAATCATCCTTTTCATCTGACGTCGCAGGAACGATTGGGTGGTTGTTTAAAATTCGTTCTACCTCCACAAAATAAGTTGCCAAACTATCATCGTGTAATATTTGCCCGTTGGAAATAGATAGTAAGATCCCCCGAACAGACCGTATTAACCTCTCCCAAACTCCGCCCCGATGGCTAGTTAGTGGGGGGTTGAAATGCCAGCGTATACCCTTCGATACTGTTAAGTCGTTTATTCTATGCTTGTTCCACACACTCATATTAGCCCGTAATTCGGAAGTGGCCCCGACAAAGTTAGTTCCATTGTCGCTATAGATTTCATTAGGAGTTCCTCTCCTTCCTATGAAACGTATTAAAGCCATTACAAAAGCATCAGTACTCAAATTGAAAGCTACTTCCAAATGTACGGCACGTGTTTGGAGACACGTGAATAGGCATCCATATCTTTTTTCCTCACTTCTTCTCCGACGCACTATCAACGGCCCAAAATAGTCTATCCCGACGGAGGAGAAGCAAAACCAGCCTTGCTGCACTCGACACTTGGGGAGAGGTGCCATCATCTGTTGGCCTAATGTGGCCTTCGCGCGTATACACCTCACACATCTACCTATCACTCGTTTAACTGCACTGGTTCCTTTAACAATCCAATAATTTCGTGGTATGGTAGCTAACACTTGTGATGTCCCGGTGTGACCTTCTAGGTGATGATGGTGTCTAATAATAAGTTCTGTTACGAAGTGATGACTGGGTGAAATTGCCGGATGTCTGATTGAGAGTGGATAATCCGAGTAATTTAATCGTCCGCCGACACAAAGCAATCCATCGATTAGCGTAGGTGAAAGATTTTTTAGCTCTTTTATAACAGTTGCGCTTACGCCACTATATCGAGACACTTTAACTGCTTCCCCATACACTCCCTTTTGCACTAAGGCTAATACCTTGTGTTTAGCTGCATCCAATTCATCAACTGACAGATAGCCCACACTTAGGGACCTGTCATCGTGATGGGAGTACATGATGGTTACATAGATCACGTATCTTCTGAGCCATGCTACCGCTTTAATCAGCTTTATCCAATTTGAGTGATATAGCAGAATTGGACTTGAGCTATGTTTTAGCGCAACTGCGTTGATCGTGTGGCATCTTTTAAATTCAACATTTTCCGGGGGGTTTTCGCACATAAGCGTCAGTGTTCCTACAGACTCTTTCTTCCATAAGAAGGAAGGACCCTCAATCCAGTTCTTTAAATCTAGCTCCTTCCGTATGCCTCGTGATGTCCAGTCAACAGGATTTTCATGGGATTCTACGTGCCCCCACTGGTCCACAGATGTTAAATGACGAATAGCGGCCAGACGATTAGCCACGAAGGTGGAATACCTACTATCTGTATTTTTTATATAGTACAGTGCTATCATAGAATCCATCGAGAAGTGAGTCTTGTCAAACACATGAGGAAGGTTCTTATTTAAAACTTCCCCCATTCTAGCACTCGATACTGCCGCTGTTAGTTCCAGTCTAGGCACAGTTGCCTGTTTTATAGATGCCACTCTAGACTTACTATAGAGTAAAACGATGTCCGGTGGTTTGCGCCTGAGTATGTTCCACGAATAGACAGAGGAACTGCAACCTGTCTTAGTCAGGATCTTCATCCTAAAGTCGGCAAGAACTCTACCAGCAAAGTCCAATCGCAAAACAGTATAAGGCAACGCATAATCTTCATAAATCGGAACTGTGTGGGTCACACCGTCACCTAAGTTCAACACTATACCAGTTGTACATAGTGTACATAGTGACAACACCGTTTGAGTAGCAGCACACGTACCTGGTGTATTAAAACTCTCAAACATGATCCTTGTCATCTTATGGTTTGCCTTCGGGTTCAATGAAACTGCTCTCAACAACCCCGGATGTTTCTCTGTTACCACTCGCAACCCTTTGTAGAATGTGTGGTACCACATCTTCTCCATATCACCCCACTTAGTCGCAATACCATGTTCAATTCGGTACTTCAGTGTCAGGATAACACGTTTCGGTCGAGCATCGTCTCCCACATGACTGTCCTTTCCATCCATTTCCACAGTCACTTGATGTCTAGTTCTTCCAACAATAGAGAGCAATACGGCTATGGGAGCATCAATTTTGGTGAAGCCAGCTTTACACATACCAGACTCATTGCCAATAACAGGGGTAGCAATGTCTTCCTCAGCCACTCCTCTAGGTAAAGGAACAATATTATAACTTTCAGCGAAGTAGGCATCGTGCTCTACTGTTGGAAGTTCATGACCTACACTTAGAGATTCCAAGGTCACTTTCTCCTTCGTTCCTGGATAATCTAACAGTTTTGACTTTTCTAGAGACTTTATCCTAAGGTCATGAGAAGGACTTACGAACCTGTGAACGTGCTCTTTTTCTCTGTCATCACAGTTAGAAACAGAAGATAATTTGCTACACGTGCTTTTGTTCAGCCTTAACGACCCAAACTCTCTCTGAAAGCACAGTAGTTGTTTCCTCTGTCTATCTTTCAAGTCCCTCATTTCTAATAATTGCCTTTCTTTTAACTCTGCTAAGGTAATCCTAGAGCTAACTTTACTACGTCTACTTAATAAACTAACATTAGAGCCATGACATGAAAATGCATCTAATTTGAATTGCCGTACATCTGGAGGTGCATCCAATTGCATTTCTCCGTGCCCCAATGCCAAATTTTCGTTGACCTTATCGCGCTTTCCAGGCATTCCAGAATTTGTCACTTGAGATTACTGTTCGCTTGAGAACTGTAACGACCGAACAGCCAATATTCGGTTGGAACAACGGACTGACGAACCCAAAATTTATTCGATTAGACCAGACCAAGTTCCTCTGTATAGCTCACAACGCGTCTTTGAGATACTCGTATTATATTATATCAAAACACAAACTCTGTGCTCAATATAAACGGTTCTAATTAAGAAAACAGAACAAATTACATCAAAAATACAAAATACCTCAAACGGTACAGCCTGTGCTATACAGTCAGAAGTTTCTCTAACGCAAAGTAGCGCGCTAAACAATGAAAGAGACAGTTAATACTAAAGGGTTTGATACCTGAGAATCAATACAAATATTCCCAATAAGATGGGATCAAATATCTATCTGCAGGGATTGCAGCAATTCTCCCAAGCAGACAGTCAGAGGGTTAACAGTCACAAAATGAACCACGCCGTGACCTTGAGCTTAGTCAAACACAACCTTACTGTCAATGGTCCGGCAACATGCAATAGAAAATTAGGTAACAAAAATAAGTCTTTAATCAAAATCACATAATAAAGGCTCAAACGGGGAAGACTGAAGAACAAAAGACATGGTTAAACGAGGTCGAAACAAAGGTTGGAATACACAAAAGAGAGAAGGAACAAATAAATGAAAATACTGTTCAACAAAGAAGCTGCAGAGGGATTTTCACTGTTCTTTTTCCGTTACAATATGATAAACTGGTCTAAAGAGTGGCTAATGCCTATCACCTCGGAAAAGTGTGTCTACATGCACTTGGGGGATTCAAAGGTTAATACGTACAACATAGGGGATGTGTCATTACCCATAGTCCGGTCTCATAAGGACCTAGGGGTGACAGTGAGCAATGATCTTAAGACGACGGCCCATTGCCGGGAGGTCGCAGTTAAGGGGTTTCGAACCCTCTGGGCTTTAAAAAGGACATTCACTAAGTCCGGAACTCCGGGGTTTATCATATAAAGAGCGGCTTGAAAACTGAACCTCTTTACTCTGTCCTATCGCAGACTAAGGGGAGATCTAATATTGATGTACAGAATACTGAGAAATGATTTCGGACCTAACTTATTCTCTCTCTTTCTTCCCACTATATCGGGACACCTCAAAGGACATAGCAGGCGAGTAGAAAAGCCAAGAACGAACAAAATACCCGTGGCATACAGGTTTTCACACCAAGTCATCAATACTTGGAACCTGCTGCCTGAAGCAGTGGTGTCCGCACCTTCAATTGACTCTTTCAAGAGAAGACTGGACACTCACAGAAGCATACTCGAAAAGGAATAACATAGGTCGTAGGCCTTCTGTCCTTACTACACAAATCTGAATCTGAATCTTTTGTTTTGTGGTTTCGCGAAAATGAACTTTATTTTCGCACACCTTTTGAACGTTTTATTTGTTGCTGTTTTGTGGAAACGTTAACTACATTTCTTATCATGGCTGGAATAGGAATGGCGAATGAAACAGTATATTTATCAATATCGTAATAATTTTTCTTACATTTAGCATCACGTGATTGATACAGAGGTGTGTCAGTTAAATGTGTTTGTACAGGTACGATAAATTTTTAACCAAAAAGGAGTTTGGAGTATTCTGAATAGTTTAAGTGTTTGATTCATTTTTGCAGTTCAGACATTGATTATGTTGCGCTTGAAGGTCTTTATAACCTTAGGCAGAATTTCCGTCAACTCTAAGTTTCAGATCAATGGACATCTTTTTTGTACTTAAGAATAAATAGGCACCATACTTCAGAGACCATAACATTATAAGGCAAGTTTCATAATAGTCGTGCGTTTGAACATCTAAAATAAAATCTCTGATCGTTTATAAGCATGAGTAACTTAAGTTTTTTTTCAAGGACTTCATTATTATCACGTAATGATATATAACAGTAAATAAGATTGATTTGTTGTAAATATACCTTATGCAAAGGGAAAATTTTGCACCGATTTCAGAAGATCCGTACCGTGTCATCGTATCTGCTATCTAAATAGAACAACTCAATCCAACGCAACAACCACACAAGTACCAAGAACTTTGGTGGACCATGATGAGATAGAAATGATAAAATTTCACAATCGCTCACAGAGGCAAATTAAGGTGTTAGGTGGTGAGCACACCCTGTGAAGGAAATGTATTTGATGACACGTTAGTTACTGAGAAACTGCTTATCCATAAACATTATTCAGAAATCCTTCTTATCAGTTCAAAGCATTAAAATCGAAGCCAAAATATAAGTAAGACATAGAATGCAAAGAAGATTCCATACTTAGATAATAATGATCAAAATGATCTTGATGGTGAACTCTTCAAAGTATGTGACTCCTAAAACGAAAAGTACAATACCTTTTTTAAAATGTAACTGATAGTATTATGAATAGCGTCTAACAAAAATAATGTTTGCCTGTACATAAAACTGCTGTGTTACATCAAATATCTCTTTTTGTGGATCAAAACAGTAGTAATTTTCCTTATTAAGGTTTGAAAAGAGCTAAGTTAAACGTCTGTGGGTCATCCGAAGAAACTGTAGCGGTAAATAAATCCCCAAAATAAATAGCACTAAGTTTTCGACATTGGATGCTGACCATATGTTTTAGTGGACTCACCTAGCTGAAGGCGCTCGGTCAGTCATCCGCACCAGATCACGTGTGGTAACGCCGTGCTCAACATCAACCGCAATCGCTAGCCAGATTAGATCAGAGAATTCCGATATATTGGTCATCGCCAAATATACTCTTCCGATCTCCTCGACTCTGTCTTTTGATTTCTCTGGGCGGGAACGAAATATATTAGAAGGTGTTACTGGTAGAAGCGTTGTCAAACACTGAATACCTGTGACATCATCAAAACTTTGAAAACTGAACTTCTAGAGTGGAGAAAAAACATACAGTTATGTAACATGATGCAAAATCTGGAATCAGTACTTCTAAAGCTTGTAACGTCAAATGCTGTTCCTGCGAAGACATAGAAGGAAAAATGACCCGTTGTCATTACTGCAATTGACAAACCACAATAAATTGACATTTTAAAATAGAATAGACAGTTGTATTTGAACTGACTTTCTTTCTGAATAGATAATTGCGAAACTTAGGTTCTGTTTTATAAGTATTTAATCAGAAAAACTCCGAATGTTATATTTTTTGCTGCAACCGGAAAACAAATATATCCAGTCGCAAGTTTACAAGTGATAGGCTTCACCCATTCAAAATTTACAGGAACAGATTTTCAGTTATTACTTATGCACAGCTCATTTCATGAGGATTAATGAAACACACTTTAGTTCATTTCGATGATCTTCCAACCGATATCTAAACATTTTTACCTGAGTTGCGGGGAGTTTAAATGATTAGAATCTAGGAGTTTCTTCTCACATCTAACTGTGTCTAATACATCCGTCTAATATCTGCTATTCGGGAAATTTCACTATCAAATTTTGTCTGACTACTTGTTTACTTACCAATTGGTTATATTATCAATAGAAAACTCCAAGCGCTAAATATTATCCAAATAAACATGATAATTATATTCAAATTAAACATATTACACACAGATCTAATGTCTCTGGGTATTCAATACCACATTTTTTATTTAGGTTTCAATGAGTTAGTCCTAAGTTGCTGATCGAACTAGTTTCTGAAAGTAGCACTTTATAATTTGGGTACCTAATATCGGATAAGTTACATCAGAAATCTCAAGAACTTGTGGAAATACAAAGTTCAAATAGATACCTACAAAATATTCTTCGAACAAACCGACACATCACTCAATGGTTTGGTAGTGCTTAATTGTTTGCTTTAAAAACTCTAAACCTGGAAGCATTTCAGTTTAAAAAGCATGAACTTTGAGGTAGCTCCTTCCATAAACGTCGAAAATTGCAAGCAATAGCCCTATTGAGTTCCAAAATATTTATGTTTCTTACAGGTTAGTAAATAAAATTTCACAAAGTTGCGGGAAATGATGTCATCTTTAGCAATTAGATCCACAGCCTAAAAAGAGTAGTTTCTACTGTGACATTTTGTTATTTTTGCGGCTGTTTAACGTTCCTATAGCCAATATAAGGTAAATTGCAATGACTGGGCAAGTGGTAATAGTCACACTACAAACAGCTCCATGCGTCCTGTTAATTTTTAGTGCAGCAGTATAGCATAAGTTTTAGAAGTGCTTTATAACGCAAAGTATAAGTGAAAAACACTTCTTCCAAGCATCTAATGCATAAAGTTCTAGTATTTTAATCAAAGTAAAAGTCTACTACGGTGTCTTAAATATATACGGTCAACTTTTGCGTGTACAGATGGGAAGATATTTGTAGCTTTTCTGATATATTCGGGGTACTATAACAACTTTTATGAAATTTGCTCAAATACTATATCTTTTTAATGTACGTGCATGCTAGTGAAGACACTTATCTTTGAAACCATAATTATTGTTACAATAAATATCATGAATGATGTGGAAGTCTTTATTTTCCATTGCTTATTGTAATTCATTTTTTCAGGGCAGAATTATGCCTTCAAAGCCTGTATTTCTTACTTGCCATGATTTGGGCTGTAATCGTGAGTTATTATTTAATAACTATTTTGTATATTCTGAGAGGACAATATTCACTAAAACACCTGATTATCAATTGAATATTATTTCTTAATTCATCAAAGTTTCTACTTTGTTCGCTGGAACAGTTATAATTTTTATTGGAGTTGGTTGGTTAGATTTCATTCATGATAGAATCAAAATTAAAGTTCATTATGAGCTAATTAGTGATTCAGTTTTAGCTCATATAGTAAGCCGTAACTTATGATCCCTATGTGATGGTTATTGATTGTTATCCAATATCTGATTTGTAGTGTTACGTCAAAAAGTCAAGTTTAGACAAGTGAGTTACACTACTATACTAAAACTTTCTAAAAATTGGTAGAATGTCTACTGGACGTTGTAAGTGAACAGTGTAGTAGGTGCTGCCTCTCAAACTACTTCATATATTTCTGGTTTTAAAAGCCTCAATTAGAGCAAGTTTGTTTAATGGTACAATGTTTGAAATAAATGCGTTATATTAGGATTTGATTGACCCATAGTTTTAACATGGTCTACTAAACTCTGGGATGTATATATATATATGTATATATATATATATATATATATATATATAGCTTCATTTTTTAGAATGGTAAATGAATCCATGAATCATGGCTAACCAAATTATATACATAACGACTTATGGCAGTATTCAGATACATTAAAATAATAAACTTCAGATGTTATAGCAAATGTATTCTAAATTCCGCTATTAATAACTACTAAACTCAGAGTGTCACTTCACTTATTCTAACTGAGATTATCTGCGCTGCTTTCATTGTCCAAGTGTGTTGTACTTAGATATTTCGAACAAATTTTTGTTTATTTAACTAGCAACTTCTAGATAATAGAGCATAATTTCCACCAAAAATTTGATAGTTATCAGCTGTCTGACATAAATAAGTTCAGTGTAGCACACCCCAAAGAGACTAACAAAAAGCATAAATATGGCGGAATTTAACTTTTGAATTGTGATTTTTAATAGGAGCAATAATTCGTATCACTTACTGGATAACCGAACTGAAAAATATCCGAAATTTTATGTTTAGATATACAACAACCTGATTATATATATGCCTTATAAACAGGAATTAAAATATATCTACTTGTTGAATACCAAGAAAAAAATTTAATTAGTTTTCAAGCTATGAATTCTGAATCTTAAGCTTTTCATTTTTGAAAAAAATATAACATGACATTTAATGAAATGATTCCTCTTATCTTCTTGAGTTTGTTATATTAAAACAGATAAGATAAACAGAATTTTAATTTAGAATGACGTGCGAAATGAACTTTTTAAAAACATTTTTTTGCAAACGTGTAAAAGGTATTTCAACTTTTTTAGTAATGGGCTACATTGGGGTCCGGCATATATACTTCTTAATTGAAACTTATCAAATAAGTCTACCTCAATCCTGATGTTGATGTTTATGCTATAAAAGCCAACGCACTGTCAAATAAACCATTGAGTTGTGGTATTTACTAAACTTTTAACGGATTTGATGTTTATGAATATTTTTTAGGGCTTATTGTTTTGACTATTTTTGATCTCACTTTGTCGATTCCTTTCAGGACATAGACCATAGGTAGATAACTTTATCCATCATCTGTATAAGATTTCCATCTCAGTGAAAACATAAATGCTAGACATATACAGCTAACGAGCTTTATGAAGAATGAAATACTCATCCAGATTTTAATTGGTACTGACAGTGCAATTTATTGAGGCTGTCACATAAAGAAGTGATATACCAACAAAGCTTGTAATTTTCAGCGTTATTTTTGTACAAGTACTTCTTTATTACTTAATTGGCACTTCAAGTTCAGATTATTTCCTGATTAAACAAGTAGAAGTGACTGTTTTTCTTTACCTTGTTAGTTAAATTACATGTCAAACTATACAATGCTTCTTAATTGTTTTTCCGAATACATTATTTAATGATAAGAGATGTAATCCTCACAAGAAATTCCTAAGTTTAATCGAAATCTGTGCAATGATTGTACGCATCTAGTCAAATCATTATTTGTGTATAGTGATGGACGTTTGGACGTAAAACTGCTTTTTGTGTAAAAAGAATTAACCAGTAAAGAAAATTTAAATCTTAGAACGCTAATTTTAAGTAAAATAGTCCTGATTTCATTGAAAATGTCATCGAAAGTTTCTCAATTAAACCATCTGGCATAGATAATGTTATACCCTCAAAATACTTATGTACGACAAATATAAAGTCAAGGTGCTTCACGGAAGTATTAGGCTACTCAATTGACATGGTTAGATTGAAGTTGATCAGTGAAGTTTAGCTAATACTCGAAATTCAAGCTGCATAGAATTGGTCAACGTTCAAGCATAAACTAAATTCATCAATCAAGATAAACATAGTGTCAGTATAAGCTATATGATTTCAGTAATAAATTATTTAGTCAGTACTAAAAGTTTTTGGATGGTTGTACCAAGTTTACCAATCTAATATGTACAGTTCATTAATTAGCGTAAGTAAAGAGGGAGTTTAGGATCAGAAGTTCCTGTTGATAGTTTTCAGTAATCTTGTATCACGTGTACCAGATTGTGGTGCAATGCTTAATAATCACAATCCCATAACACAACATTAAAAAAGATTACTTATACCATATGACTCAAACAAGCGATTCGATTATATCTCCAAAAAACGTGTCTTCCCTTTCTCTCTGTCTCTATCTCTTACATTTTAGTTTTGCCTTTAGGTCACTATGCAAAACAATCAGTATTCATTGATAGTCAGGACTGAAACTGATCAGTCTCTGTTGAGATATGTGTATGTTTTTTAATAATGTTGTCTGAAACAATATCCCTTAGGTTTTAGTCCTCATATGAATATTAACACATATACAGGAACATACAGTTTATGAGTCCCAATGCTGAATAAAATTTAAAAATCATTAGAAAAGTACTATGAAATCTTGTATAGATTTAGTATAAATTATAAAAATTGCTTAAAACTAAATATTAGTCAGATTTATTTGTAGTATAGAACTTCCTTTAATTAATACTGTCCCTTCTTTGTTTTTTACCATAACTTTGTTTCTATTAAAAAAAGTAAGAAATGATCGGTTACTACATGAATATGGTATTTCATTTAAATTCCTTGATATAAATCTCTATTTTTTCTTTCATTGATTTATGCTTAGACATTTTACTAGTAAATGTTATGTCTGACCATAAAAAGTTGCATATATATATATGTATATGTATTACATTGAAGATAACATAGTTTATAATAGACATCTTGATATGCCTATATGTGTAAATAAAACATTCGTAGTTACTTGAGTATATGAAAGCCTAATTGTAAAACTTTTCTCTTTAGGTTGAAATGTAAAGCTGTAGGAGTGACATCCACTAGGTTTTATTTCTATGCTAAACTACCTAGAATTTCTTTTAACATTTGTTTACTACTATCCAAATTTTCATGAATAAAAGTTATAGTTTTAACTTCAAGCTAAGTAAATTCTTTAGTGGCAACTGTTTTAGGAGAGCAGTAAGCATTTCGAAAAAAGTGTAAGAGAAATTAGGACTTATTCAGTAGTTTGCATCCATCCCTTAAACTAAACAGTAATTATGTATTTACTTATTAAATAAGCGTTTTTCTCTATCTTCGTTAATTATAATACCGGAATGCAAATAAATATCACAAAGCATATTTGTTGAACACAGTTTGTTAAATAAATATAATCGGAACACTTGATTATATATATTCTCTAACATTTATTGTATGTTCACTTGGTATTGCTTTACTTGAATCATCCCATTGATGTTTAGGCCTGCAATTGATCTTATTGGCATATGTGCATATTGAACGAATTGCTTCGATATTTCCTTAATTCATAAGCATCATATACTGTATATGTTAAATAAGGTCAACTGCTTCAGGCCACCTGTATATATACTGCTTAATAATAAGAAAGTTAACTCTCTGTTGAAAATTCCTTGAAATGGGATGAATTTTTTAAATGAATTAAACAGAAATAAGTGAATGTTCTACTAGTTTTCCTCATAATATGACCTTAAAAATATTAACTGTCTTAAAATTATAGTGATAAATGCTGACTTGATTGTTAGCATTGTTGTTATTGTCTTCCTCTTATTATATATATTTTGTTAAATAATTCTAAGTGGGAGATCGATTTGTTTATTTTGTATTGACTTTCCGTTTCGGTTATTACTTTCAGATCAATAAATGCATTAATTGACAAATGCCCTATGAAATAAATCGTTTCTCTCTTTCTCTCCGCCTGAATCTAATCATTTTTATGCTGAAATGAGAATATCTAGGGCACTAGTACGAATTTGTAAGAACGAATTTCAATATTAACACCCTCATTGTAACTATTTGGTCTAAGTTAGTTTTAATTCAAACATTTAAATAGTACCCAAAGGTTATCAATTCAAGTCTAACTAATCTCAGAAATTTTTCAGGAATATTTCTGAAGTCAATCAATTCATCGTCGACAATTCAGGATCTAGGACAAGTTTCAATTCGACAAATATTGCCATGCTTTACAATGATAAGAGATAAACAAGCAAAAGACCGGAATATTATATACGACAACATAAGTGGTGGCGGTATACTTAATACGGAAAACGTAATTGAAAAAAGTCCGAAAAAGTCATTAATAAAAATTGTGAAATAACAACAAGCTGAAGGTTTCGTAGGAAGTGATGGAATTTCAGCCCCTGTATTACTAAAAACGATCATCAGTTATGTAACCTAAAATCTGTAGGCATAACTTATGATTATTTTGATAGGTTAAATCAAGAAGTCTGCATATGCATACATGAGTTAGGCCTTTATGTTTTCATCTGGCTATTGTTACCCATCTGTAAACATACTATAATAGAAAAAACAGTACATTTTAATTGACAGTTGAGAATATGTTGCAAACGTTCTGACCACCTGACTCAATGACGCCTCACCGTATATAAACCAGCTCACGATTTTTATATATT